ATTTACCTAGCAAATACATCAAACATGGATCTTCTCATAGATTTTTAGCTACAAGGATGTTTAATGTGTTATTGTTTTTAATAATACAAAAATTTAAATGATACATCTAATAGAAAATTAAATGAATTATAATATAGTCACACAGTAGAATGCCATTCACTGATTTAAAATGATCCAACAAATTATTTAAACTTATGTTTACAACACACTGCTTTTCTTAATTACAAAGCAATTTAGATACTTTATCCTACCTAAAAAATATTTATATATGGAGAAACAGCAGAAACACATAAAAATGTCAACAATGGTTATCTCTATAAGTGAGATTAAGAGTGATTTATTTTCTTTTTGTTAGTATTTTAAAATTTTCCACAGTGAACATACTGCACAATTAACATTTTTGTAATAAGTCACTAAAGGTATCTAATACCAAATATAGCAAACGCTTATTACAGAATTATTTATTACATGAATTTGCTAATAACATTAATCAGTCTCACGTCCTTGAGATTTAACACTTAATGAGAGTCACATAACACAGCCTTTTAAATAAATACCAGGTCTATTTCTTAACACTAGCATTAATAAAGGAACTGTTATTTACCACATGACTCCAACATTTCCACTAGCAGTGACCGGCAGTGCATGTAAGAATAAGGTACCAGTTCTCATCATGTGACTAACTCACAGTTAATTTCACAGAGCAACTCCATAAAAGGAAGGGTCTTTATGATCATTTTAGGACGGCTGGCTTTCAGCTATCAAGTTTGCCTGCCCACAGTAAGGGCATGTAAGTGCATGATCCCAATCCTTCTACTCTCCATAGACAATCACAATGTTGATCCTTACGTGCATCACTGTTGATTGCAAGCTTAAGAGCAGTAAGAAAACAACTATATCCCACTCTCGGGTTCTCCAGACAAAGAACACCTACTCTTAACCTAAGGACATGCGCTTACCTTAGCAAAAAGGTGCTCCCTGTATTGCTGCTGAGTAACGAAATTTTATAACACACTACACAGGCAAAAGAGCTGATGAAGGGTCCATGTAGCGTAATTGTTGGATCACACGGAGAGTGATCAAACCTGCTCCGCAAAGAGAGGCAACATCAGAACACCTGACAGTCCAGGGGCAGGACTACGATGCTTCACTTGTTAAGCCACACACACACACACACACACACACACACACTCCGAACTTCACACTTTCTACTGAAAAATTAAATAATGTTCTTTATATTCAAGAAATGTAAAGCAGCTCCCATATGCCATGTAATGTCTTTAAACAGTGACCAACAGCTTCAGCTTTCATAAAAGTGCTCAAGATCCAATAAAACGGGTTTACGCAGTCTTGCCAAGATGGTAACTCCCAGCTTGAAAATGGTAGAGCCGTCATCTTTTCCTTCTTGCCTTATCGCCCATAAAACTCACAGATAACTTTAAATGAACCACTGGAATAATAATCTCACATCAAGACTGCTGGTACACGTCTATCTCCAAAGATGGCATTGATCCTTTTAATGTCATTTTAACCATTTAACAAATCTCTGTCATTTAAAACTGCCTCAAAGACTTGTAAAAAATACTTTGAGCACAGTGTGCCACCCATTTATGTGCAGAACGCTGAAGCCCTTCTAGAAGGTTCTGTGGGTAGGGTTAGGCATAAAGAGGCTGAGACAGCTGTAAAAGAGAAGGCTTAGAGCCCCAAACTCTCAGGTCCCACCTCTGAACTAGCAGAGAGGAGGCTGAAGGGAAGTCTGTTTAATGCCTTTAACACTGCCTTTCCTTGATATTTACCTTCTCAAGCTCTACCTCTCAAAAATTCAGTAAATTAATACGAAGGATTTCATAAAGAGGATATTTATTATTAATTTTGCTACATCTGGTTTGCCTCTAGCATTTGTTTTGTAATGCTGTGTTAGCTTTCCTTAGACTAGACCAAATACCCATAAGTACTTTGTGTCTCCTGGAATTTGCTAAATGCTAGATTTCTCTACAACTGATCCAAATGCACATTAAGGCAAAAGTCTGGTCAGAATTTTATGAGACATATTAGGACAGAGTATCACTAGAATAATCCGACTTCAAGCTTTACAGAAAACCTAAGAAATGTAAACTAGAAAAAATTATAATAGCACAAAATGATGAGTTTGGGACATAAAGCTATAATCACAACGGCAGGGGTGCATCACGCTTTCATTTCACCGAAATCATTTCGTAACTCATTTCACCTTCAGCATCACTATTCTGAATACCACACTTACCTTTTCAAATGTCCTAAGAGAAGGTGCCCATTATCAAATTCCTTGTTACAGTGCATTATGGGACATGAAATTGGTTTCCCAGACACTCGTATTTGGCCTCCTCTTCGGAATGAACTTTTTGTTCCAGAATTAATTGTGCCTGCTTTGAGTCCTGCATCATTGGAATACAAATTCTTAAGTTTCTATTTCAGATACTTGTCCTTTGGACTGATAATCAAAAGTATGAAAAATCAATGAAAAATAGGGTGCAGCATCAACTAGGTAATCCTAACTGTAATTATATCCTTACACAAGATACAGTACTTACAAGTAAATAGCTATTTAGGACGAGGAAAGCCATTAACACCTCCAAGAACATTATCTTTAGGAAAACAACTGTTTCCTTAAGTTCAACAGCCAAGAAACATCAAAGGTGAAATACATTAGAAAATCAGTTGCTCTGCAGAACCCCTATCCCGGCCTGCCTTCTTTTCACTTCTATGAGCTGGCAAAGATCTCTCCTTCTCATTCTTATTTTCTCTTTTAACTATCTTAAACACATTATAAGGCTCAGTTATATTACAGAGGATCTGGGATCTCAATGTCAAACACTGTCAAACGATGTAGCCGGGAGGGGGAAGGAGTGGAGAAATATGGAAACAAATGCTCGTGAATTCAATTCACAATGAATTAAAATACTCTGAATCAGTCTGGAGGCTAGAGACTAGGCCTGAAGGGACATATTACTGGCCCAACAACCATTCTAGACAAGACTTGAAAGTGAGATGAACAATTCTTAGCAGAGATCTTGCAGATAAAGCATTACAGTTCTAGCCCATTTTCCCTCTTGGGAATCTTCCCAAATCTACAGATGTCCCAGAATTATCTCTGGAGGTGAGGCTCAGGGAATGTATTTAAAACTCCAGGTGAATTCTGATGCAGCTAAGAATCAGAATTTCGAAGTATCTTTTCTAATATAGGCCTGGAATGCCAAATGATTCTTTTGTTTAGCTGAATGACAATTACACTTGGAAACAAGTTCTAGGCCTCTCTTCTGTGTTCGTGTGCAAATGTTTATGGCCCATTCTGGTATCATAATCAACCAACACTTCAAGAGCATCTCTGTGCTAGGCCTTCTTTTTAGGCACTGACACTAAAAAGGATTAATAAGCTTTGGTTTCTGCCCCCACAGAGCATGTCAATCTAGTAGAAGACACAGACATGTAAACATATCAATCAAACCTAACAGTGGGATTTATGGGGCTGTGGGATCAAAGACGGCTGAGCAACCAAACTCAGGCAGAATCAATAAACCGAGCAACCTCTAGTATTGTGGCTCACCCTACAGGCAAGACAGACAAGAAATGAGGAAAAAGTACTTAAAAGGAAGGATGGGGCAAGGTGGGAGTCTGCCAGGCACAAACACACTTGGGAGAGTAAGAAGGAAATATAGCTTCAGGAAGTACCCAGGTGTCAAAACTTCTACAAGTTACTGAATTATTTTAAAAGTGGCAATTTGATTCTATTCAAAGCCTCAGAAAACTACAGAACAAGAAGACATTGAGGTTCAAAGCTGAGCATTGCATGCATTGATATTTCTAGCACTTTTAACAATTAAACTTCCTGCTGGACTAAACCCACAGCTAGAGGTTGCTGTGGCTATGCCAAGCCTTTAAGGGCTCGGGGTGTTCTACAAGACAGGCAAGAAGAGCTGCCACGGTGGGACTGAACTACTGATTCTTAAACATTCTACCCAATTATCTGGTGAGAAGAAAATGCTCCACAGTGACTCCTCCAGGAATCTCAGGTCTGCAAAGAGTTAGTGATGAAGAAGCTACCCAGGGCTTCAGAAGGGCCTCCCGTGTGGACACTTCAACAAAATCAAGGCTTTGCTAGCTTGTCACAGATTGCACTGACAAATAAGTAAACGCTAATTCTTTTCATCTTAGCTTAAATTCCATTTCCTTAGAGAAGCCTTTCCTGACCTCAGATAACCTGTTACACACCCTCTCCTATGTCTATTTGAACTACTTCATGTAATAACATGTACGAAACCTAGGAATGAATAAATAAACAATATCTAATCAGCTCAAGGATTACTTATACTCAAAATACACTTTTGCCAAAGCAGGAAGACAATTGGTAAAGTAGGCTCCCTATTAAGTATCACTGAAACTAAATTTCAACACTTTATATACTTATTAGCCACTGAAAAGAACAGACAAAATGCCTTAAGGCTTCAGACAAGCTCGGTAACCTCAGTGTCCCACTCTGATCTCTAAAGAATACCTGGCATTTTTAACCACTGGTCCACACACAGTCTTGCTGCTTCAGTATCAGAATGTCCTCGAATAAATTCCAATTCTTGTAACCCATGGGCATGCTGAAAATCGACTTTTTCCTAAAGATATTAAGAAAAACAATCAATTAACCTATGATTACTAACCTGGTTTCCTTAAGAAAATGATTTTGTCACATCAACAGTCAGAAAATACTGACAATTCTTTATTCCTGTAACTCCACTGCTAGAAATCTATCCTATCGTATCTAAAGAGGTAGGTCAAAACTAAGGTTCATGCTCTAAGAGGTTGATTCCAGTGACAGCTAATGTTTGCACGAAGTTCAAAACAGCTTAATCTTCAAGAACAGGGTACTGTGTGCACATACAGGGTGCAGTTGGTATGTGCATTTCATGAAAGTCATTAGAAACACTAACCAATGTTTTCAGTGAAGGAGGAATATACTTTTGATATCAAGCAGGTTATCAATATTAAACAAATGGGGCCAAATATAAACAAAGATTATTTCAAGATGAAACCCTATCTGCAGTGAAGGAAAAAGGCAGAAAATAAATATGATAAATGTCAACGGCTACCTACGGAACGCAAATATGAATGATTATTTTCAATTTTAAACTTTCATGCATTTTTTCAAAGTTTCCATATTATAGTGTAAAGTACACAAGAACCTATTAAATATTTGTTCAGTGAATAGTACTAAAAAGAGCAGACACGCATTAGCATTCAACATGTGCCAGTATAAAGCATCCACTGCCATCTATACCAAGGGGTGGCAAACTTTTCCCATAAAGGGCCAGACAGTAAATATCTCAGGCTTTGCACCCCATATAGTCTCTTTCACAACTACTCAACTCTGCTGCTGCAGCACGAAAGCAGCCACAGATAAGATGTCAACAAATGGGCACGGCTATGTTCCAATAAAGCTTTATTTAGAGAAACAGGCAGTGGGCCAGTGCCAAGCACTAAGCCAGATGCTCTAGACTGTTTCAGTCTCTAAATCCATCCAGCTATGTTATCTATAAATCTACCTGCA